GAGATATTCCTGAATATAACTATTCTGCTAATTAAAAATTTTACATCTGAAATTGATATAATATGATGTGTGTGGTTGCTGATAAAAAACCGTTATACTGGATTGGCTATCGGATRGTAAATCAGAGTTGTCAAACCTTGTGCTCCCCAACTTTCTGATGCGTTTAAAATTTCGTTTGTCACGAACTGGGGGGTGTTTTCACTGATATTCACGTGAGGGTAACCGAAACGTGAGAAGAACTCGCGTTCTAATGTTTCGATTATTGTTTTAGAGGTTGCGGTTCCTAGGGGGGCAAGCCTCGGTCTACCTATACTAAAACAGTCGGTTGCTACCAGTATTTGCGATTTTCCCTTACCAGAACGTGGGTATGGTCCCATTAGATCAGTGGTTCCCAACTCAAMAATAGGCACTTTTATAAATTTTTCACCGTTACGGACCACTCCCTGATTACAACCCCTYCCCCTCTTTATATCACTTATTTTTTYATAGTTTTATAATATATAGTTTATTATTTCTAGGTACAAAATAAAATCAGAAATACAATTTATGTCGTGGAAAAATATTTTAACTTATTTATTTAATAAAAAAAGCTGATACTAATTTAAATTTTACATTTTACGAACTTATATTAATTAACTTATGTATTATTCAATGAGAAAAAAATATAACAAATTTATATTATTGAGTAGTGTGTGACTTATTAGGGCGCGCTTCTTTTACCAGTTGTGAAATTCTTGGAACGATGCTTTAACTTAGTGCCAGTCGTATATCATCACTTGGATTCAGACGATTTCGTTGTTTATTTTTTATAGAAATCCTTGCTCACATAAATATGTGGTTGAAAAAACTACTAGGAAACGTAATGCTGTTTGCCGAATGTTTGGATATCCTATGGCGTTTTGATACGGCACAAACAACAACACATAAAACGGCCGTTCTCACGGCCACCAATTTAATGCACATATCAAGACAGAATCATACRAGCAACCGTACATAMGGATAAGAACTAGGTGATTCTTCACAAGTATGCTCAACGATTATGACGAGCGAAAAT